TAGAAGGTGACATTGTTATTCTAACTTTGTATGTTGACGACATGTTACTCGTTGGAAACAGTTTAAAGTTGATCAGCACTGTGAAAGAACTGCTAGGAAAGCAGTTTGAAATGAAAGATCTAGGCGCAGTAAATGTGATCTTGGGTATGCAAATTAAGAGGGAGCGTGACAAGGGAAGATTATAGTTTAGTCAGTGAAAGTATATAGAGGATGTTCTGAAGAAATTCAAGATGACTGATTGCAAACCAGTGTTGACTCTCATGTCTACTGGTTCTAAGTTATCGGCTGACCAGTGTCCCAAGACTGAAGAAGAAGAAGAGGAGATGCCGTCAGTTCCTTATGCTAGTGCAGTTGGGAGTCTGATATATGCAATGATTTGTACTAGGCCTGACGTTGCTCAAGCACTGGAAGTATTATGTCCAAGCCAGGAAATTAATGAGTATTGGACGACAGTGAAGCATGTGTTTCGTTATCTTTGTGGTACGTCTGACCTTGGGTTATGCTATGAAGGCGCAAAGGGCTCAAGGGGACAGACATTATTAGAGCTGAGATGCTTTGTGAATGTTGATTGGGGAGGTGGCATTGATAGTAGAAGGTCTGCAAGTGGATATGTTGTTTTCTCATTTGGCGGAGCTATCAATTGGATGAGTAAGAGGCAGAACACTGTTGCTTTATCTACTACAGAAGTTGAGTATATGGCCTTGACACATGCTGTTAAGGAAGCTATTTGGTTACGGAAGTTGTGCAAAGAGCTTGACTTTGCACAAGGAGAGATGATCGTTGGGTGTGACAGTCAGAGCGCCATTTTTTTGCTAAGAACCCAGGTTTCCTTGCGAGGACCAAACATATCGGCATATAGTACCACTTCATCAGAGAGAAGATTGAAGACAAAGTTGTATTGCTAGAGAAGGTTGACATAAAGGTCAACAATGCTTATTTTCTAACCAAGGAAGTGACTTCAAAGAAGTTTGAATGGTGTATAGCTGCATTGAGATTGAAGAAACATGCAAAGCATTTACCAAGTGGGAGAATGTTGGGTATTGCTCACACTTTGCTTGCTGATGAGGGCCCTTGTTGTCGGGGTCAGTAGAAAGGCAACTGGAGTCTTGCTCCCAGGCAATGTTATTAAACTCGACCCGGTTAGTGACTCGGTCGAGGTACTGGGTTAGTGGGTCACTGGTTCAACCGCATGACTCGGTGAGTATATATAAATTTATAATTTATATAAAAAAATTAAATATATTTAAGTACTTATAAAAAAAAAATTAATTTCAAATATTCTTTTTTTTTTTTTGATAAATAAGTATTCTTTTTTTGGAGTTACCTAACCCTAATTATCTCTTTGAGACGAGTTGGCTCCCTCCGGCATCCCCACGAGCTTCGACTCTTTGAGCTGGCTATGGGACTAATCCGGAGTGCGAGGGAACAGTGATGGCTAAAGGTTCAGCCCCCTCCCCAAGAATGCATTCAGCGGGAATCGAACACATATCCAACCCCACTAACTCAGCGCCAAATTACCAACTGAGCTGCACCCATTGGGTGATAAATAAGTATTCTAACTTTATTAGTAATGAATATTACATTTTGTATTCCAAAAGACAAAATATTACATTTCAAATACAATTTAATATAATAAATTTTTAAAAAGTCGTAGCTTTGCAAAAGAGTGTTACATTTGACAATATATTAAACTACTTCTTTCACTTCAATTAAGTACATTTCGTTTTCCAATACAATGTAATAAATGAAAAATACAAAAGCATTGGTCATTTTTATCTGCTATTTCATAGCCCTATTTCACAGCTATCTATCGCCTCTTTTTTTGAAAACAGCTATAGTCTTTCTTTCTTTTCTTTTTCTTTTGAAAACAGCTATCGGTCTTTGTATTTGATTCTTCTTCTTTGCCATAGCTATAGTCTCTCCTTTTTTTCTTTTGAAAACAACTATCGTCTCTTTAGCTGCTTCTCTCTTTTCAGTAGTATTGTTTCAATCTGTAATTTTTTTCTTCTTCATCTATGAGGGTGGTGGTTACCATGAATGAAAAAAAGACCCACAATGAAACTCGAAGAGAAAGTCTTGGAGAGAGATAAAATACCATGGTGAAGAAGGCTATGCTAATGGATGTCAAGATCTTGAAGGGAAACGATGAAATACCGGAAAGATTCTTTTTTTCCATCTCTGTCATCTATAATCTTTCTTCTTCTTCATTTCCGACCGGATTTTTTTAAACCGGCGGGTCACCGGTTTTTAAATACTCGGCCGGTTTAACCCGATTTTCATCGGTTCATACCGGGTGGTTGACATATCCGATCCAATAGGTTGCCCGGACCGGTCACATGGTCGGTTTACCGTTTTCCGGTTCGAACTGGCTGGTCAGGTCCGGTTTTTATAATACTGCTCCCAGGTGAGCGGGAGGGGGTTTGGGGAGCAGCGCCCCTGGCTCGTAGAGGCTAGGTATTGTTCTAAGCATCTGATTTATTATAATTTTTCCTTTTCTTACTAGTTTGGACTTAGGCCCATGAATAGCTACTGTTAGGATTTTCTAATCCTATTTATATTCTCCTTGTAAATCGAGTGACTAATAACGAGTGGCGGTGAGGTGAATATAGTATAAACAAGCTGGACGTAGCCTAAATTGAGTGAATTAAGGTAAATCACTATGTATATTCTCTTTCTTTTTTTTCATTTGCGATATGTATGATTGTCGATTAGCCTATAGTACGAGGGAGATTTAAAGTTACTTAGCCTCAAGAAAAAAGTCTTCCGAAATTTTTTGACATGAATTAGCCTATATATTGCTTCAACCCTCAAGTGAACTGGACCAGTCTTTATTTGGCCTCTCTATGTTAAAACTATTCCTGTGCAAAAAGTTGAGCTAGTGTAGAAGATTTTACCACTTTAGGGACAACACTGATAGTTGGAGGATCGAGTGAAATTGACCACTCAAACGTTTTACTTCATAGCGCATTTGACTGCTTGTTCCACAGTCAAAGGGACCAAAGGCTTTTAGAATTATGGCAGGCATTATATCAAATGTGTATATTACTATAGCAAATTGATGCAGTTTACAGATATCTCACAAACTTTCTCTCTAGCTTCATAAATACAAAATTGGTTAATTTGAGTTTCACGTTAAAATTTAAGCATGTCAAAGTTGAACAAAAAACTCGGTATATTAACACTGACACAGTGAAATCACCGTGTTGTAGTTGTTCGATGAGTTGTGGCATGTATGCCACTGTTCTGTGCTCGTGGCACCACAGTACGGTCCTTTGCTAGAAAAGTAAATTATGAGTGATGAACAGTATTGTGGTGCTCAAGGAACAGAAGTTGTTAAGCAAGTTCAGTGCCACATAACTGTACCGAAACTTTTAGGTTTAATGCATACATTGACCATATTGCATGTGAAGTGTTGATTTTATTTATTTTTTTTTTGGAATAAATCTCATATATCTTTTATAGGAGACAATTTTATTTGAGACGGATTCAGGATTTAAGATTTTAAATTTTTTTTAAAAATAATTATGAGAAAATCAAAAACATATTTTTACTCTCACTTATTTAATTCTTATGCACCAATTGAGGTATTATCATTTTAATGTGAAGTGATTTAATTTTAATAGTTAATACATGGACTTGAATTCACTGGATTGGACCAACAGTAAATATCATTACAGCCAAAAGGTCACATTCATGCCAGTGCAAATGTCATAACAGCCACTAACAACAGCATAATATACAAGCTAGAGAAAAAAAGAAAAAGAGAAAAGAGAAATGTCAATGTCAATTCCACATAAATATATATTAAATCTACTTCAAGGGAAGACAGTGAGTACATTTACATTAGACTCACGTCAAGTCCTATATATGGTTCTGACGAGGGTGGATCCTCTCATGTAAAAAAATAATTATGTAGTCATGTTTTTTGATCACAACTATTCATTCATGATGAGATAAGAAAAAGAAAAATATATAACTTTTGAATGAGTGATTGTGATAAAAAAACATAACCACATGACCACTTTTTCACGTGAGAGGATCCACTCCCGGTTATTATTGCTACCCATTCCTAGAAGAGAATATTCTACTTCAAATAATCTATGGTTGATTAGATTTGCATATAATTGCACTCAACTAGTTCTATCATATACTACATTAGTTGTTTTTATTTCTTATCATTTTCTTAAATTCCACTTAGCCACTTAAAAACATTAAAAAAAAGGTGATCCTTTGGTTTTCCTTTATTCTTTTACCCTTTATGTAATTTAAATCGCAATCTTTTTCCCTCTTTGGCCAAAGGAAAGTATGATCAGTCCACAACACATAAAAATTCGAGAAACAGTTAAAACTTTCACTATATACAACCCCAACTGAGTCAACAGAATATTTACATTTTGGGTTTTTTTTTTTTTTAGTTAGTATGTCAAATAAAGTTGATTACATAATCTAAAGTACAGCCAAACCCATAAAATCCAAGATTTCACTGACATATACCTTCCTTTCATCCATCCCAACACAATAGAAAAGAATCAAAGACAACAAAATAAAGAACTAAAAAGAATCGTGGACATATACAACTGTTTCTTCCACACCCTCTCTTTTGATGCCACTGATGCACATGTGTTTCCCTAGCTGCATCCCAATCATATTGAAAACTTTTTGAGTGGTCCCCTTCTTTTAAAGTAAACACATCACGTGCCTGCGCAGTCTGATCTAACAGAGAAGCCTCAGCCTCACCACCCAGAACGTGACTCTTCTCAGTGAATATAATTTCCTTTCATGAATTGACTAATAAAAATTCTCAACATCTCACAACCCAACGGTAAGTTATAACATTCAATATACCATTCACAGAAGAAAATTTTGGCCTTTTTTTTGTCAATTCTTTCCCCTTTTCTTTTCTCACATATCTTATCCAAAACTCTGCAATTTCTTTTATAAAAATGAAAAGAATCACAGTATATCATGTAAACTAATACTTGATCATGAAGAGGGTTCAATTAAACATTGAGAAGCTGTTCCATTTCCGTCTGAGAATCACATATTGGCTTTTGTGCTGGGGATGGCAATGGTGACCCTGCAGCATTATCCATCGTCTTCAGGTTCTGTTGGTGATAAATTTGCCTCAGTCTCTCTATCTCTCTCTTCAGTGCCTCTTGATGAGCTGCATGTATATGATTACAATTTTGGATGCTTAATTAGTTAAACAATATTAAGGGTTATAGAAATATAATATAAAACTTTTAATATCACATTTTCTTGGATTGAAATGCTTCTTTATAGGAAAAAATATTTCTGGAGTTAATGCAGTTATTTGTATTTATTTCCAAAACGACGTTGTTTTGGTATTGAAATCTTAAAAAATTATAAATATAAAAACTATTATAATCTTGAAATAAATTAAAATTACAAAAATACCATGATTTTCATCCTAAAACGACGTCTTATTGAGCTTACTGCAGATAATTTGCAGTATATGCAGAAAAAACGAACCCTTCTTTATATAGTACAAAGCCTATGTGACTTTAAGTGTAGAGTTTCTAACAGGAAAGTAGATGAATCTGAACTTGTATATTATCCACTCTTCAAATTTAATGAATTCTTATAGAAAGAATCATGTTAATGAAATATAATATAAAATTATTAATATGATTTTTGCGGAACAACTTAAACTTTTGTATTAAAATAATGTTTTGTATTAACTAATTGGACACAGAACACATGATCAGACACAGACTTAAACACGCGTGCATGCTAACACTTTCACTAAAATCAATATAAGTCTGTGCAGTTTCATAATTGGTCTGTTTCTCCCTTCTAAAGTAATGAAATAATTATATAGTATGCAACTATAACGAGAAAAGGCCAATAACAGTGCAATTTTACTAGTGTCTCTTTTGTTCTTAATTTGGCTAATTAATCACTATTATGAATCCTCTCTGGAGAATACTTAACCAACTTTGAGGAGCTGCTAGTTCATTTTCTCAATTTTCATTTTGTCATTTTCCCCTTTGCCAATGGTCACAATAAGATAATCAGATTGTCAATTTGAAAGCAGAAATTCTTTTACTTATTCTCATAAATACACTAATTCATGCTTTCTTTTTCTCTAAATTTTCTTATGTGCTTAATGTGCTTAAAGCCTAATAAAAACTAAACAAATTGACCACACAAGTGTCTCCATATATATAGCATGCACAGATGCAAGTATCCAGATTTCAACATCCAATTTGATTCTTTGTAAAGCTGATCAGCTGACATTGTTTTGGTTCCTCAAAAATAGATGACAATAAACCATCTTTCTGTGCAAAAGCCACAAGATTGAAGGACTAAATTGATATGAAAATTTTATAATTAACAGAATAAATTGATGATATTTTTTTATTATTGAGAGACAAAATTGATGTAAACTTTTTTAAAAATAAATTAACGTCATTGTCTACTTTTTAAGAATTAAAATAGTCTTGCTTATCTAATTTCAAAAACTAAATTGATATAATATAATCTTTCAATGACCAAAATAATAATTTACTTATAATAATTCTAAGAAACTTGAACGTCTCATTAAAAGGTTCTTTTCTTATAGAAGCCAGAGAAGTATACAAAAGCTACATATATATCAACTACAAAGATAAAGAGGATAACCATGTGGTTTAGCAAACAAGGCTGTACATACTTTACGTAACCATTATCTGTTTAATTAGAGCCCTAATGGAAAATTAATCCACCAATAAAAAAATTAAGAAAAATAATTAAATTTAACTTAATAATTGTTTTAATTAGAAGAATACTTATTAAAGAAATTACCATCTTTAAAGATCTTGTCTTGGGCAAGGGCGGCGATTCTTTGCTTGAGAGCACTGTTGTCAACATTTAGAAGCAAGCGTTGATGATCCAAGAATGCAACCCGTGGAGACAGCACTGAAACTTCGGCCTTCATTGGTCAACAGTCAACAGAATAAGAAAAGGTCAATAATATTATCATTAGTATTATTAGACATCAAATTATACGCCATACAAAAATTTCTATGAAAAGTCAAAATATTTAATGTACTCACCCACGAAAAAAAAATATGGATGGAATGTCTCTTATCTTATATTTATCTCCTATACATACATAACATTATTATGTTCAGTAGTGAAGCCACTTAGTAGCTGGGAGTGGTCTCGGCCTGGACTAAATTTTAATAAATTATAGTTATTACATATAATTATATAATTAATTATAATTTGATTGGGGTTAAAATTATAATTTGACCCGGACTAAAATTTGTATTTGGCCCTATCTAAAAATTAAAATATATTTGGTAAGAGATTTAGGTAAGTTGTATTAGATTATGTGTTCAATTCTCATCTGTATAAAAAGAAATTAAAAAATCTTTAATAAAATTATAACTTTTCTTAGTGTTGTCTGCTCATGTGCTCTGTATTTAACATAATTTAAATATATTATAATATGAACTAATTAAAATTAAAAAAATAAATACACATATAATTTTTGGCCCAGGCTCAAATTGAAGCCCGGCTCCCCCACTAATTATCTGAGACTTATTTTATTTTTTTATCTTTTCTTTTTACATGAGTTTACATGAATCTCATATACTTTTATTTTATCTCTTATGATACGAAAAATGTTATTCTTAAAAAATATATTAAATGTTGTCATCACAACATGTTACATCACAAACCTGTAATGAAGTTACACTTCGCTCAAGCTCTGATATGTATTGCAGCTTCCTCACTCGCGATCTTTGTGCTGATTGCCTATTTGCCAAGATTCTGATGCAAAAAGAGAATTAGATGCAGAACTCAAAGAAAAAATAAGAAATATATAAACCAAGAGGAAACAAATTTCAGTTTATGAATAATAAAGAGTAATTCATAAACACTAATTAACCATTATTATAGAATAGCAAAATCAAGTCCATAATAAATAAATAAAAAAAGTTACATTCAAGTAAGATCTTAACTCTTAGTATCCAATTTTTGTGTCATAGGGTCATTGCAACTTTACCAGAGAAAGCATATAGATAAATATATAGGATGACAGGAATGTTTGATCACTACCTTTTGACTCTCTTGGGGTCAGTGATTCTGTCATTGGAAGAAGTAGCATTCGTGTTATTTGGAGCCTCTGTGATTTCTTGTTTACATTGGCTTTCAACCTCATCTGGTTCATTTTTCAATTGGTGCTGCTGCTGCTTCTCCTCTTCCTCATGTTCCTGCTTCTCCAACTCCTCCTCCTGCTTCACGGGTTGATTCGTTTCTTTCTCATCATTGATGAAATTCTGATCCGAAGGGCTTGAATTGTTTGAGGAGGACATGGTTGGTGGCATGGGGACACCAGAGATTTCATCCGTGAACATGGACATGAATTGATCATCATCAAACTTTTCGAACTCATTGTCGTTTCCAGAACTATGTGGCATGGCAGGGTTGTCACGACAATCTTCAAGCATTGGTGCCTCGAGGAAGGTGATGGAATCGCTCACCGACCGGCGGTGAGCACCGCGCCTGGCGGAGGAGAAGTCGAGGAACTCATCAACCCAAGAAGGGTTCTGATTATGCTGATGACAATGGTTTGTGTTGTTGTTGCCAACATTTGCAAGAGATGGCATATTGTGGTAAATAGAAAAATCTGGCCAACTTGGTGACATGTTTGGGATCTTAGGAGGTAATTGTGCCATTTGAGACCGACACCACACACCACTCACAAGACAATAATAAGAAGAAGAAACAGGAATTTTTGCAAACCTCAGATATGTTGTTGTTGTTGTTGTTTTTGCAGTGTCCTTAACAAATGCTATCTATGCTCAATGCATATTGCATAATGAGTAGAAATGAAACCAATGAGCCTCTAACACAGCCCTTTATATATATCCCCGGCAACCAGAGGGAATGTTAAGAGGGAAGAAAGCCACAAGAAGAAGAAAAACATAATCATAAGCTTTTCTTCTTCTTTTTTTGTTTTTTAAAAAAAAAATGTGTGAATTTTTAATTGTTATATTTTGTTGTAGGGTTTAAAATCCTACAAAAAAAAAAAATCTTTGGGGGTATGTGTATCTATGTGTTTTGTGGAGTGGGGTCACATGGGGATGGAGAGGGGTTGGACAGCTATGAACAGCTGGGATGAGGGGTTGGGTCTCAACGGTGTTACTTGAAAGTCGCTAGTAAGATTAATAAGTAATGGGAATCAGCCACCACGTGCCCTTGTGACCTTCTCTTTAGTAGGGTGGGTGCCCCAAATTTGGTCAATGGTCATTTAAATCCTATTAGAACATTCTCTCCTATATGCTTGCTCTTCCCATTTTATCTGCCTCAGCACAACACACTAATTTTAACCCTTCAAATCATTTTACGACACTTAAAAGTTAGCAGGCCTTTTTGTGTTTTAGTAAATTGCAACATCAAGAAGTTCAATTATTAGGGAAAGAAAAGAGAGTCAAACAATTTATACCCAAAAAAAAAACAGAGACTCAAACAAAGGTCAAATTTCTAGTTAACCAATTTAGGTATATTTGATATGCATGGTTGAGGAAAAGATCTCAAATTAGACTTTATACGCGTACAATTAAAGGTTAATTAAAAGAAAAAAATGAAAAATGAAAAATGACCTATAGTCATCAAAATTAAGAAACGAAAACAGAGTTAGGTAATTGATTTGATTCGGATGTATTGTGTTCACGTTCTTGGTTAAATTTTAAAGATTATCTATAAGACAAACCCCACTTGACAGGGTTAGTGATTGGTTAAATCATATGGGATGTGATCTTTATCTATGAGGAGAACAAAGGCCATGTGCATAATATTATTATTTATAAGGTGTTATGGTTATGCATGGGGTGAGACGTGTTTCATTAATCATTTCATTAAAAAGCTAGCTAGGTACAGTAATTAAGATAAGTAGAATATATGTGTGTGGACTCGTGGGATTTGGGGTATGAGCTGTGAAAGAGAGGAAAAAGAGAGGCCTTCTTGTGAAGGATCATGTTATGCTCCCATGTGAATTGTTTGCACGCACTATGCTTTCTTTCCTTTGTCCCCAAACCATTCCCACATGTAGGGTATATGCTTCTCTCTGTCTGAAAGTGCATATCTTCGTGTCTAGGGGTTTCTAGGTACCTTCTTCAATCATCATATCTTAACTGGAATTAGTGTAGTTTTTTTAAGGAGAAAAGAGTTTGACAAAGCTCAATCATGATTAAGTGCATGGGATATCTATATATCTATATATTAATTAATAGCATCTATCTGTTTGTAGGTCTTGCCTCCCCCTATATCCCCTATCTTAGACTTTACAATATATTCCTGAACCTAACTAGCTTGAATAACATCGTAATTGAATTGTATATACACATATCGGAGTTGAAGTTTTATTTAATCGAACCAGTTAATCAAGTTATAGGGATTGGTCGAAGTCATGGTACGTAATTTAAAACAACTATATATCAAGGTAATTTACATATGTATGTATAGTTTTTTTATTTATAAAAAATATGACAATAAAGATAGGTTACTTTAATTTATTCTATGTACAAAACAACTACTTATAAAAAGTAAAATCTTTTTCAAGAAGCTTTAAAAATAATTAAAACCAGCACAAACACTACCAAATAGGATTTCAGTGAGTTAATTGATAAATGAGGTTAAGTTATGCTGTCTAAATTTGAATGGAGCCATTTTTTCTATTGTAAATAATTATAAATTATAAATTATAAATTATAAATATATATATATATATATATATATATATATATATATATATATATATATATGGGTTTTATAAGAGTTATGTTGTAGGAAAAGTAATTGTGTAATGTTATAGAGATTCGTTTTGCGTACCGTAATTTTCTTTTTTTTCTTTTGTCTTCAAAAAAGTGTGGGCTTCACAAAATGTTGTGAGTGTAGGAAAGTTTGTTGTGTCATGTTAAATGAAAAATGCAAACCCATATATATATATATATATATATATATATATATATATATAGCTCTGCGAGTAACATCAAATATATTGAGAAAGATGTATGTAAAAAATCAACAAATATATATCAAAATAATGTCATTTATGTTGTAAAATCAATTAGAACTAGAAGAAGAATACGGAGATAGGAGAATGAATTCTTATTGTATTGTTGTATCTCCATGATGCTTTATACATACCTTATTTATAGGCTCAGAAAACATGAAAGACATAATAACTTCAATTACTTTTCTAACGGTCATAACATTTCCAACAGTCATAACATCTTTAACGGTCATAACGTCTCCAACGGTCATGACGGTTATATAATGGATTGGACAGCCAATAAATTGTTTATAACACTCTTCCTTGGATGTCCAATAATCCAATTGAGAAGAAATATGTATGAGAAGCTGCCTCATTAAAAACCTTACCAGGAAAACTCAATAGGATAAAACCATGGTGAAAGAAAAAAGAATGCAGCCTTATTTCACTCCCCCTGATGATAACATTATTTACTATCTCTGAGTTTACGCATCCCGATCTTGTATAAAAGTTTCTCAAAACTTGAAGTAGGTAATACCTTGGTAGATAAATCTGTCAAATTATCACTTGAACGAATTTGTTGAACGCCATGAAATAATTATGCTTCCACTTGTGATCGAAATCTTGTTTGGAATCTGCCTTTGTGTGGCTCAAGTAAATAACATGCATTATAATTATTCTAGTATCTTCGTGCTGATAATGTGTTGTAAAATTAATAAGAACTAGAAGAAGAATACGGAAATAAGAATTCATTCCCCTATCTCTCTTATCTCCGTAATCTTCTTCTAGTTCTTGTTAATTTTACAACAATTTAAACTCTCAAACATTTTTCCTCAATAAGTGAAATATTTCTCATTTTTTTTGGTATGCAAAAATATTTCTCATTTTAAATGGCACAACTTTGTATCATTTTAGATAAAACAATATTTTTTGGTGTATAATTGGTATATTTTACTTTTTCTCTCCTCCATTTTATCTTTTTTCTTAATTTTACGGAGGAGAAAGAATGTAAAAAGTAATCAAATATACACACAAAAAAATGATATTGTTTCATCTAAAATAACACAAGCTTATATCATTTAAAATGACAAATACTTTTCCCTAACAGTAATAATAATAAAATAAAAAACATGGACATGGATCGAGTATCAGCTATATAAGCAATCAAACAAGCGGAAAATAAATTTTGTTCCATTTAATTTCTTTTTCACTTAATTTTGTAATCCTTTAGTCAATTATGATTATTCATTACGACTAAATATACACCAACTTCCAATAAATTCAGACAAATTTCTATCTACCCTCTTATATATTTTGTTTTTTAAAGAAAAAATTCACAAAATTTTAACGAATTAATGAATCAATCGTATTCCACAATTAGGACGATCCCATTGCAAACTGTGTTTCCTTCATTACGTTGTGTACATTTGAAGATACAAAGGGTAGCTAAGTTCACTGGAGTAACAGAAGAATCCCACCTAATTCAGAAGATCAGAAGAATCCCACAAATAGAGCAGGCCTTTTCATTTATGAAATACCAAACCGGCTTTGGTATGTTAATTATTTAACTTGTCACACATTATATATTGATGGCTTGGAGGATAGGCATGTTTATGGCTCTTAAATGTTGGTTTTACGAACCCACAATCATTTAATTTTAATTTCTAATAAGGGCATGGTGGTACTGGTAGTCACTAATGTCTTAAAGATCTGTTTAGATCAGCTTGTAAAAAAATGACTTTTTATGTCTTACTTATTTTGGAAGTACTTTTTTCAAAAGCTAAAACTATTTAAATTTAGAAAAATAATTTTTGAAAAAATATTTAGTTTTTAACTTTTTTTTAGAAGCTAAAATTTTTAGCTTTCAAAATAAGTAGATTTTTAACTTCTTTTTTTTTAAAACAGACTTTGTAGTTGAAATGATTTTTTTTATTTAATAAAAGCAATTTTTGGCTATAAAAAAGTCCATCCAAAATAGTCTTTTGTGTTTGGTAGGAGGTTTCTTTTAGGATGACTGGGAAAGTTGAAATTGGTTTTCTAGTTGACCATGTTAGATAGGAGATTATAAAAAATTTACACATCGCATTTGCATAGCAATCTCAGTTTGTGTGTAAAATCGAAAAATTTTGTCATTTCAGAATATCACCCAATGGTGGTATTCTCATTAACCCATCAAATCAAAAAGTAGAAAGAAAAAAAAAATAGACACAAATATTCCTTCTCAAAAAATGTGTCAAAAGAAAGCTCGAGAGAAAGTCTTCTTTGTATTTAGTTAAGGGATAATTTGATAATTTTATCCCATTTTTCTATCAATATTTTACCTTCAACCAAACAGACTCAGAAAATTTAACTCAATTTTTCCTGTAATATTTTGGCCTACCAAATAATTTTTTTTTAACTTTTCTACCGAACTCATTTTCCCATCATATTTCTAATAATTGTATTTCACTAGTAATTTTTTTTTTCATCTCTACCAAACATCCCCTGAGCCAGAAAAGCTGGCAAGAACAGAAGCCATTCAGATGCCTCAAGTCAAGGCATTCGCTTTTTTTGAATGCATGATTTTGAAACTTTATTGAATGAAAACATGGCTAAATGATTAGGCTTATTATCTTTGATTCTTTTTTCTTTTAAAAAAAAAAATTATGGGAACACCCATATTTACATAGATATAGCACACTCCAAAAATAAACCCATGTGCCATATTCGTTGGTTTATGCATGAAGTTAGCATGCTGAGACAGCTATCCCTTAAGCCGGCCGTGTTCTTTCATAATCTTTAAATTCAAATAGTATATTAAGGCACAAACTATCTGTCTAGAATATAATGAACTTTTTTCTTAGTCTCCAATTTAAATTCGGATTCATTCAACATAAGGCATCACAACTGATCTGAAATAATATATTAAGGCCATTATATTAAGGCCAAGGCTTTTACAATGAAAAAAATATCTTCAAGATGACATTCCAGTCAAGAAAGGCCGCACACAAGAACAAATAGGGAGACTTTGTCGTTTCACCACTTGCAGGCAACAATTAGGGTATCCCCTCCACTATAAATACAAATATACTGAACACAAGATATACGCATTCTTTTATATGAATAAGTTTACACAAAATTTAACTTGAGCGTCAGAGTATCTTGCTAGTACCCCTCACCTTGTTCTAGTGAAGAACCATGGGTTAAAGTTTTATCAAATCACTTGTGGAGGAATTATGGTCAACCCAGATAAAATTGTTGTGATCAACAACTAAGCCTAGACACAAACAAACTGTTCACAGACAGCAATTTTAAACTGTCTTAAGGAGAAATTAGTGCAAGAAACTGATTGTGAGTCTTATATGTAATAGATAAAACTGATTACATGATTCAAACACAAGACTTTTGGATCATTGATGTAAAAAACCTTGGGATACATCACCCCAAAAGTTAGCTCAAAGGGTGGGAGTGCCCAAGGCCTTATAAACTCCACATTAGTTGCTCATAAAATCAATGTGGGACTATATATCTCAACACGCTCCCTCACACGAGAACCCATTAGGCTTGAAGAGTGGATGATGCAACAGGCCCAGCCTACCTGTGCTAAGAAATTCCACTTGAAAGAAAGTTGGGGGCGGCGAGGATTGAACTCGGGACACGAGGCTCTGATACCATGTAAAGAACATATTCAACCCAAAAGCTTAAGCTCAAAGGGTGGGAGTGTCCAAGGCTTTATAAAAGCCGCATTAGTTGATCATACAACCAATGTGGGACTATATATCTCAAACCTTAAGGTGTTGGGTTGAAGTGATTCTTTACATGGTATCAGAGCTTGAGTGACTATAAGGTCACAAGTTTGATCCTCACCGCCCCCCACTTTAAAGTGGAATTAAAATTAAAGCACAAAAAGGTAAACCAAAAATTGGGCCTGTGCAATATCCACGCTTCTAGCCCAATGGGCTCTCGTGTGAGGGGGCGTGTTGAGATATATAGTCCCACATTGGTTGTATGTGCAACGAATGTGGAATTTACAACCAATGTGAAATTTATAAGGCCTTGAGCACTCTCATCCTTTGAGCTAGCTTTTGCAGTGGTGTATCCCAAGTATTCCAAGGTTCTTTACAATTGAGATAAGGAAAATGCCTATCAAACATTTAAATTGGTCAGAATTGAGTTGTTTTAGGCAGGTAAACCTTAAGCAAGTTCGAGACTTGTACGTCTGTATTATGGTCATGCAGAGAAAATGAAATATAGAATTCCTGCCTAGTTAAAACTCGCAAGCACGAAAGACATGAAGACAAGAAGATCAATATGCAGCCGAAACGTCTCTAAACAGAAATGAACATGCATTAAAATACGTAAAGAAAGCAAACATGATATTAAGTAATAAAAGCATATATTGTTCATAATAAATATCAATGCAAGCTTGTCATTTTCCATATGCACTAAGAACTAGCCATGAAGGGAACTACAACATTAAGCGTTGCCATCCTCAATCTTCTTGTCCTGTGCAATCTATGGATAGTTGCAAATGCAGGTTCTTCAATGCAAAAGAATAATTCATCTGATCCAAAAGTCATGAGGAGCAGGTATGAAAGTTGGTTGAAAAGACATGGACGACATTACATGGATAGAGAAGAATGGGAAGTCAGATTTGGCATTTACCAATTAAATCTTCATTTTATAGAGTTCTACAACTCTCAAAACTATTCTTACAAGCTCACAGACAACAAGTTCGCAGATCTTACAAATGAAGAGTTTAAAAGTACCTATCTCGGTTTTCAACCTCTATTGGGTTCACATACAAGATTCAGGTATCATAAACATGGGGATCTACCAAATAGCATAGATTGGAGGAAGAAAGGTGCAGTTACACATATCAAGGATCAAGGCAATTGTGGTAAAGTTCCTTGCAATAAATAAGTACATGGTTTAGACTTTAGAGGAGCCAAATTAAATTTATTCAATCCTCATATACCACAGTTCAACTGCTACAAAGCTTTTATATATACATATGAATCCTCAATATACTAATATAGCTCATTAACTAGATTTATATACATATTAAGGAATTTTCCTCACAATCAATGTTTATCTAATGCTGAGTTAGTTAGCTAAAGGACACGAATTAACATTTTCTAAACTCTTTGATGCAGGAAGTTGTTGGGCATTCTCTGCAGTAGCAGCTGTAGAAGGAATCAACAAGATAAAAACAGGCAAGTTGGTACCTCTGTCTGAACAACAACTGGTAGATTGTGATATTGAAAATGGGAATGAAGGCTGCGAAGGTGGTGACATGGAAACAGCATTCACATTTATCAAAAAGAATGGTGGGCTTGCCACTGAAAAAGACTATCCTTATCAAGGATCAGATGGCACGTGTAACAAGGTCAAAGCTAAGAACCATGCTGTCACCATAAGTGGTTATGAAAAGGTACCTGCTCGCAATGAGAATATGCTAAAAGCTGCAGTTGCTCATCAACCTGTCGCTGTTGCAACTGATGCTGGAGGTTATGCATTTCAATTTTATTCAAAAGGTATCTTCTCTGGAAGTTGTGGAAAGGACCTCAATCATGGTATGACTATAGTTGGGTATGGAGAAGAAAATGGTGAAAAGTATTGGATTGTGAAGAATTCATGGGCAACTGACTGGGGTGAATCTGGTTATGTCAGGATGAAGCGTGATACTAAGGATAAAGATGGTTCTTGTGGCATTGCCATTGATGCTAGCTACCCTGTCAAGAATTAAGCAATATTACTAGGCTAATTGACCTGCTGTGGTTGTGGAATGAAATATGTCAGCTCAAGAAACTTAATTGACACTAATTCTATGTAAGGTTCAAGTGTGACATTGCAACTATAGGACTGAATTTAATAATATGCAGGTAGACTAGGAATTTTATGGACCAAGGACAAGGGACTACATGAGGAAGAAAACAGTAGATTCACAATAATATCAGACTCTGAAAAATATTTTCTCCTGGTGGAAAAGAATAATGAACCTATTTCAGCCAAACCAATTACGAAATAAACATAAGAGTAATGTTAAATTTTCTCCATATTTGTTTCCTTATACAATTCAGCTGGTAAAATTATAAGACATTTGAGGAGAGCACATGAGTTCAAACCCCACTCCCTTTCTCATCTCCTTCCCCCTCCCTCATTCTCGTGCAGCCTGCCGTGCCCCTCAACACCCACCTCATGGTGAGCTCCCCTCTGCAACTATTTTAGTGATGTGCACAATTTGATTAAGTCTTGTCATTTGAGCCTAATGAAAAGTGAAGTCAATTATAAGGTTAATAAGCCACACAGAAGTTATGCATTGATCACTCTGCAGAAAAAGAAAGATGACTTGAAACTGGAACAATAAAGCACAAATTACATTATATCTTCCACCAATTTATAATCTGGTGCATTTAATATACTTGTATTATTTTTATTTTTTTGGGTCACTAATATACATGAAATTACTCCATATTCCGGTGACAAAAATCTACTTTATTGCCAAATTCTCTTGAATATATTACAAAGGGGCAAGATCAACGTATATTGGTGTAATAATAAAAAGTCTTACACTCAATCTTAACAATTGATTCACTCGTAACCAAACGGCTCACATAATTAATCAATTAAAACCGTTAGATATAAATCCAATAACAACAAAGATTAAAAGTGTAACTTACACAGGTATATAATGATCCTGTCCCTATTATAAAATAACCAACCCCACCAAATTCAGGCTAAGAAGGAACATTAATTCCACAATTCAAAGAAAACCCAGTTCTGTTGTATATGCTCACTCTTTTTCCATGCTTTGACTACAGTGATTATACCCAGAAATGTTTTGCAAATCTGAGATTCTGGTGCTGCGTTACTCCGTTGAAAATCATAGTATAATCTTACAGTAGTGTCATTTAGAACAGAACAATGACATAATAATGCAGAAGCTACAAGTCTTTGCAATATGAAGTCACCCGTTCAGCATTAAGAATTGTACTTGGCACACTCAAAATTATTAAACAGCTAAGATTTGAGTGCCGCAAATCTTTGTCTCACAGCACAAGCTATCTTCCACTCATCCATACTGGCCAAACCTTCAATTATCTTCTGTCTGACTCTGATATAAGGTATAAAACCTCTTTCTGTCATCCCCATCGCAACCTTTGCGGCTAAAACATACTCACGTTTCTCCAAACACCCTTCAATGACAACCTCGTAACTCTCAAATCCAACCGAATGACCCTCTTTCTCCAGGAATTCAAGCATCTCAACAGCTTTCCATATCTCCCTGTTGGCCCGTAATGCTGCCAACAATTTCACCAGTGTTCCCTGTCCTGGTGTCAACCCATACTTCACCAACATTTGCTTCAACAAATCCTGTGCCTCAGCAGTCCTTCTCACTCTGCACATTGCACCAATTACAATGCCATAACTATTTGAATCAGGAATACATCCTGCTCCACCCATGCCCTTCAGGACTTTAACTGCCTCCACCGATTGATCAACAGCACAAAGAGATGATAGTAGATAATTACAAGTCCCACAGTCAGGATGATATCCAATTGATTGCATCTCAAGTAAGATATTAGCTACAGAATTAGACAGATGTCGCCGGTCCAACCAAGCAGATGAGAGGAGAACATGGGTTTGAGGAACCGGAATGCAACCAGAACGTAGAGTCCGTTGTAGGATAGCAAGTGCAAGAGGGAGGGGATGGGAACTTTGGAGGGTGTAAGAAAGAAGGTAGGAATAGGCTAGTTGGGGCTTAGAGCGAGGTCTGAGAGGTATAAAAGATTGTAACATTTCATCAACAATTTCCACTTGTAAGTTCTTGGGAAAGGAAGAAAAGAAAGAAAAAGGATTGGAATTTTGGCCGGACTCCAAGGAATTGAGAAGTTCAGGAATTTTAATGAAGTTTTTGGCCTCTACTTCAGCTCTAACAGCCTGCTCAAGCTTTTGCAATGACGAAACTGAACGGACTGAAGGATATTGGTTCAGAATGGGGCGGAAATGAAGAAGAAATCTATGATGCATTGTTGAGAATAGTACTGGACTACCCGGGTTTAATGAAACCTGTGGAAATTTGTCAGAAAAATACTTGTATTGATCAATGGGGGTAAAACCGTAAATTTGTACAAGGATTTATATGTCACAAACGGAGAGAAACAAATGCAAAGATGTGGCCAAGCATTGATAAAATATCACATTTTTTTTTTGCCATGCTATACAAAGTGGCACCTTAATGTGGGGGAATATGCAACTATCACTAGAAACTACCAACTAGACATTGGCAGCGGTTTAAAAAAATGAAATGAAGAAAACCCAAAAATATGGCATGTCATGCAGCACATGATCACCAAGCCATGACAGCTGCACAGAAACGTACAGCATCCATGTTGAAATTAACAATAATAAACTATAATACTATAATTAACAATAAACATATAACTAAGTTCAAACATTATGTTACGATCCAGTTGCAAGGTATGAGACTTTGAGCCCCATATCGGAAATATGGAGTGGGGTTTATATGGACTTTGAGCTCTTCTACCTTATAAGCTAGCTTTGGGGGTGAGGTTCCCCCAAGGTTTGTATCAATTGGTATTAAAGCATCCACTACGTCTCCAAATGCAATCGAGCGGCGCGACTGATAACACTGGCATTGCAGTGTTCACCCAGGGCTAGTAAAAAAAACTAGCGCCAAGCTAGCCCACGTGGGCATCCGGGCTATAGAGCGTGGTGGAATGTTACGATCTAGTTACAAGGTATGGGACTTGAAGTCCTACATCGGAAACATAATGTTCTGGTGTGGGGTTTATATAGACTTTGGGCTCTCCAACATTACAAGCTAGCTTTCGGGATGAGGTTCTCCCAAGATTTGTATCACATTACAATGCAAATAATGCACACATATATGACTATAATCAACATAGCTCTCCTCTCAACATCCACTCAAATTGAATTCAAACATTATGATTCAAATAACACGAAAATATTTGAATAGAATAAACATAGATCTCCGCTGAACATGCACTCAGAAATGAATTAGCCACATGTAACGATACTAAACAGCACTCAATCATGTAGTAATACACATACATGTAACTAAGGCTCCCACATTATGTAAATAGGGCACAAGCCCATGTAATTATTGATATAAATATAATCCCAGCGTGGTCACAACATACACACAGTTTCTCAATTTTAAGTCTATTTAATTGATTAATTTTTTTTATTACTTTTTCACCCAGTCAAGATTAAGTGCAGACAACCACTAAATAGTTGTTCCCTTCCCTTATACCGTTTAATTTGTCAATGAATGTTTAAGTCAAGAGATCAGTGGGTACAAAAAAACAAAAGGGGAGAGCAACTAAAAATAGTGACCATGATCAAAATCAGGCACGCCTTAGGAGAAATGAAGAAAACTTTTCAGAATATTACCACAGTTCAATATTAGGCAGACAGCAAGGTGTCTTCAATTAAATGGTAACACCTCCTTCTAGATCTGGCATGACATAGGCAACGCTAGACTTGAAAAATAATGATAACCATTTGTACAATAATTGCAACCTTCAAACCTAAACCAGCATGTTTCGTTTTTATCATTTACTAATGAGCTTTTAAACACATGAAAAATTCTTGGATAAGAAGTTACCAGTAAGGTTATGAATCATTTCCACTGACTTCATGTGTTGTAATTGCATATCCTGTACTCAATGTTCCCAAATGTGACAAGTGTTGGAACAATGAAGGGTTCCATCATACTCACCACTCCCATTACAAGAATCTGCAGCAATAATGAATGAAAATTGGAATTTAAAGTTTTAAGGTAGAAGAAAAATCTTAAATATCCATGATCCCACGGAAAACTAAATTGCCAATTAACCTAATGTGACTGAAGATTGATTATGAGACATGGTAAACCAGGTTGGCTGCAACATATGATAACTTTCGGGTATTAATGAATTAATATTTATAAAATCATTTAATTTGAGATAGGTAATAAGTGCAAAACCAATCAAGTTCAAAACTACGAAAGTTGCAACAAAAGGCAAGCAGAATTCTATTTAATTGCATAGGCCAGTTACTTCCATCTCAAATTGTTCCATTTACACTAGAAATTATGAAGATGTAAGAAAATATTTTATTGTCAAAACCAATGCAATTCACTGTACAGTCAAAGTTTACAGAAAGGTTTTCAAAACGTTAAAAGGGAGACATCGACCATCCATTGCTTTTAAGAACACAATGCTTCTAGTTTGGAAGATCTCTAGTCCATTCTATTGACTTGGCGAAATGCCAAGTGCAAACTGCTTAGTGCTTACCATAGAAAACATAGGACAAAATGCTTAACACAGAAAAGATCAATTGCATGAGAAGAAAATATGAAGTGTACCTTGCTTCCTATGTTTCTGCAATAGTAAGAAAGTTATGATGGTGGCATGGCAGCTACAGAAAACAGCCATAATATCTGCATAGAGTGCGACTTAATGATATTAAAAAAATTTAACTTTTTTAACCAAAACATGGATTCTTTTCTTGTCATATTTTCTCTCAAAAGATCATACAATTAAAATAGAGACCTGAAAAACCGTGCAAGTGTCTCAAGCTAATTTTTTTTTTTTTAAAAAAAAAGAAAAAGCAGGGGAAACACATAAAATCAAAACAAAGCAATTTGTTTGAACAGAAAAGAAAAAATGTCCATAACATCTTCATTCCTACCTGAATTCCAAAACCAAATTAATGAGCTTCAATAGGAATTAACACCATAAAAATGCATCATTTGACATACCTTGTTCATCAGTGCCATCAGCACAGTCGCAGAAGTTTCCTTCAAAACAAATAAAAAAAAGCTAGAATAATAGAAAAATGGCTTCAGAGTGCTACAACAAAAGGGTTGTCTAGCACACCCACTTGGGAAAAGATTCAAGCTTTAGATATTTGAAGCAAAAAGGGGGGTGAAGAAGGTGAACTCCAAGGTGGGAAAGGCAATAAGCTGCAGAAGCTAGGAGAAGTGAACAAAGGAAGCAACAAGCCCATTCCATCTGAGTATGGGCTTTGAGCTATGGGCTTTCTTGCCCAAATTAAGTTGACTTGGACTTCAGCTGGACCAAACAATTAATTTTTTTATGAAATATATTAATAGAAACTTAATTATTTTTTTAAAATTTCAAAATTTTATTTGAAAAATAGAACTTTCTTTTTCCAGAATATTCTTAAGTAGTAGGCCTGATAGAGTGATAGATATTCCAAGGTCAAATTCATCTTTTACACTCCAACAGTCGAACTAATGCAAACAAATTTAAATTGAAAAAACATTTGTTTTCATGTAAGATTATATATTATTTAACAAAATTGACGAACAGAGTCAATCCCCCATTGTTTAGAAAATTCAAATGTAATTATAAGATTTTGAAAATTCAATTTTTTGGACGTTGAATTGAAAGGAGAGATGGGGGAGTTGGGAATTGCTCAAAATGTGTAAACTTAAACGTTATTTGTTACTTCATAGGAGATATTATCAATTATAATCATTAATTAATAAACATTGAATAACTTATTAAGATATTAGTTTAAAAATAATAATAATGTAATACTAAGTTATTAAATTAAAATTTTAATAGATAAAACCATTCTATTTATCAATCAGAAACTTACTGGTTTAACTTCGGAATAAATACAGTGGCGACCTCAAGAAAAATAGAAGCGAGTAACTAATCAATTGCTATGTAATAATATGTAGGAAAAAGAAAAAAGCAAAGGCAGTTTACTATGGGCATCATCAGAGCATTAGGTATCTTTATACGTTCACCTGTGAAGTTTTCTATCCGCAATTAAAAATCAATTATTTAATATCTGATCATCATTGGTATTATGATATATTAGAGTAATCCACTTATAATAAATCAAAAAAAAAAAAAAAAAGTCCACCATCCACATATAGTTAATCATCATTGATTCATTGCCAACCTTATTTTCCTAGGAGCAGCAGCAAGTATATATTATGTTAGGGTGATGCTAGGGAACCCGCTTACAAAGCCCGAGAATTCCCTAATCATGTATAACAAAATTATTATTTTTCTATATAATAATAATAATAATAATAATAATACACCATATCACAATTAACTGAGGTGATTTCAGGTGCGTCAGTGCCATTCTCATCCGGGCAATTTATAATTTTTCATAATATTAATTGACAGGGAAAATTTAGCAAGAAAATGCAAATTATAAAACATCTCATTGATGATATATTGTTAATTGATAATAACTAATTATAAGTGATTGTAGAAGAATGGAATCTTCAAATATATTGATACATAAACAACTATGGTTTGCTGTCCCATACGCAACCTTCCATGATCTAGTTATTCATTTGACTGAATTGACCTACAATAAAGGAAAACAAGAAAAATATAGTTAGCGATTAATGTTTAGGATTTTCATATGATATTTTCTGCTATAACTGTCAAGTAATTTTATTTATTTATTTATTTTGAGTTTAATAAGCAATTTGCAAATCACAAATTATGCTCTAAAGTTTTTCCCCCATTATTTTATCTGTTTAGCTTGAACTAGATGTGTGAAATCAATCTCAAAGAAAGTCCTCCAAGTGCCTAAATTAAAAAATTTATTATATAATATGTCCCAACACCAAACTTATAGAAAATATACGAATACGTCATTCCTAATTTTAATCTCTTAAATCAACAATTTATTATGACATAATAAAGAGATTGGTACCTGTAATATTATAATATGGACGAGAGTGCTGCTGGAATGGGACGACAACTTCCGGCCTCATATTCTCAAGATCTTGTAAATAATTTGAATGATAGGTATATATGGTAGAATCAACGCAATTCTTATTATCATGAACATAATCAAATGCATTATCAACAACACTACCGAAGCCACCTTGATATGGCAATTGCAACTGTAAATTTTGATTTTTGCATATCATAAGTTCGTTGACCACTTTTTTATACTCATCGTAAATTTTTATGTACTCTCCATAAGGACCAAGTATAGGATCTTTCTGCCTGCACATTGCTTCCCATATTAATGACTCCAAAACTCTTCTTCGATCTTCTTCCTTAGCAATTTTCACTAACTTTGTTATGTTGCTTACTCCGAAAACCTTATGCACAGCATGGAATTCACGACTTTTGTTTGCTGGCAAAATAGGCGCTAATATACATGTTTCATTGCATTTCTTCCTTTGATTCTTGCATGCAGCACATGCAAAATGCGTTCCATTTGTACTCCTTTGCATCCTAATATCATATTAGAATTAATCAAAAACAAATTCAATATTTGCGAATATGATATAATGTTGTTTGATTATGTAGAGAAAAAGAAAAAACAAACTACTATAAATACGTTGATCAATTGATATAAGGTTGTTCCAACTTAACTAGTGGTCCTGATTTCAAATTCTGGGCTCGCAACTGTATTAAAAATCTTGTAAAAAGAGTTTTATTACCCTTGTGATCCTATCTGACTTGACCAGATTAGTCGATTAATTGAAAAATCTCAACAACAACAAAAAAAAGAATGAGAAGAAATAAAGAGAGGGGCAGGAGAAGAAGCTGATTTTCCTAGCTAGACTGAATATTTAGGTAAGAAGATGTAAACTATTTTTCCTTACTTGAGAATTAAAAAAATATATAAGAATGAATGACTTGTAACATTTAATTATCAATGTATATAGTCTTTATGTTGCAATATTGTAATTGAGGATTAAGGGCAACGCGCGTATGCTTATAGAGAAGTATGCATTCATACAAAAATCAATCAAGATCATGGCGTACAAAGGACGCATGAACAAGGGGAATTCAAAATACAAACCTCACGTAACTATTATTGTTGTTGTCTTTATGCGAATGAAGAAGAGATGTTTTATAAGTATGATATATAGAAAGAGAATCGCATGTTTAGGAAGTGCATGGAAAGATGCATGGTTATCGTTGAAGATGTCTCTTGGAGTGATAATTATTTAGGTAAATCATAGAAAGAATAAGAAATCTAGTTAGAATATATTAAGATTAGAAAACAATGGGGAGTTAAGAGCAATACTGATTAACTCAAATTGTTCTCCTTCATTTTTTTATAAATGTTTTTAATTGTCTTTTTCTTTTCATTGTTAAAATTAATAATAAAAACTGTCCTCGCTAGTTTTGGTTTTCTTACCTGGATCCCCATTATATCATGTAGGTTGTTGACTGATTAAGCTTTCAGGGTTGTTTATGTTACTTTGTAATTATAGTGTAGGAAGTAATCATCAAGGCATGTTCTTGACGTGAAGCATATTAGCAAACTTCATATTGTTTGGCATCATCAGCAAAAGGGTTATTTTATTATTAGTATGGGCTTAATTACAAATGTTGGTTTTATTTTAACTACATTAAAAATTATTCAACGTAGATGTTTTTTTTTTTTGGAATTAACCCAACTCTAATTACTTCTTTGAGGTGAGTTGGCTCCCACCGATATATATACCTACAAGCTTCAACTCTTTAAGCTAGCTATAAAATTAATCCGGAGTGCAGAGCGGGTCAGAAATAAAGATATTTAAACTCCTCCAAAAGTGTCATGTGAGGATCGAACTGAGGCTCTTTCTTTTCCATATACTCAGCTTCCTTATTACCAACTAAGCTACCATTATTGCATTTATTAAAAAAGAGTTTAGTTTTAGTGTATTATACATAAAATAATGTTCAATTTTTATATTATTTGATGAATTTTGTAATACACGAAATGTCAAATTTATTAAATAAAAGGACGAATTCATTTACAAACTTGTTTTGCAAATTTTTTCATATTACACTATATGTACTCCCGAAAGTACATAGTGTAACCTAGCGTATATATACTTTCGGAAGTATATAGTGTAGTTTGTAAATATCTCTCTCTCCATTAAATAATATAACATTAATTTGGCATAGTAGCATTGTTCTAAAATAGTTTGCTGCAATGATATCCACAACCAATAAGAAAATATCGATGATCAAGGCTAATACTGAAAGAGTTATTTTTGGATTTATTTTTGGTTTATACTGAAAGAGTTTTACACATTCAATATAATTACAGTGTAATTCATTTGACAAATCTTTCAATGAAAAGAAATTTTTTGTTACCATAAATAAATGTGAGATTTTTTTATTATTCAATAGTATGAAAAAAAATTAAATTAATGATGGATCAAGGAAATTTAAATTGTTAAGGTTCATTGACACGACAAATAAAATTGGACCGGATAGAATAAGCCGGCCATTATATACCTTTGTACAATATTTAGTATACAAATAAAATTGGATGGAATTTCGAATTACACTTTTTTTTTTTTAATTCTCTGTTCTCAAACTTACATGCAAGTTTGAGGCTCGTGTAAGAAAAGGTTTATACTCACTAATATATAAACAATTTATTTATTTATTTTATCTGTTAAAGCTTATATATAGTATAAAATTATAAAGGGCGTATTATGATATTGAAGTTAGAAGTTAATTATTTGTGTATTATATTACATTATATATATTGTATAGAAATATAATGTCGTGACCAGTAACAAATCCATATTGTTGTGTACCAATAATAATAATAATTCCATATTGCTTTACATATAACATAAATTTTCATTTGCGACATGATTCGTCTCTCTTTACTAAAGCATATATGGGCTTAGTTTGTGTCATGAGATATATTAAAAAAGAATTCTAGTTACCTTGCAAAACAGGGTTGAACTACACTTTTTCATACTAAGTCATCATTATAAAGTCGTGGTAATTGGAACTGTTCTCTAGCTTAAGGCAATTCTTCATTCATATGATGATGCATTCAAAATGTTAAAGCTAACTTTAAGTGAGCTGGTCAGGCGCGCATGGAAGAAAAGATGAGAAAAAATCACAAACTCCAAGAGATAGGAGAAAGTGAAAAGAATCCAAACCAAGTGGGGAAAAA